CGATTATTAACTTTTGTTTTTCAAATTGCTCCATATATTTTTCTTCACGTCATTAGATAGAGATTGTTTTTCTGAATCCACTGATGTGCAATACATCCACTGTGGATGTAATTTTAGCAGAAAAAAGACACCTGTATATACAGGTTGTCGCACAAGAACGCCGTAAGCTGTAACTCTGTCATTTAACTTCCGATTTTTATGAACGAGGTATCAAATGAAATGGTTTGATGAATACTATGATTCATGCTACAAATAAATTTTTTCCAACGCCATCTTCAATTTCAAGCGATTATTAACTTTTGTTTTTTAAATTGCTGCATATAATATTTTTCTTCGCGTTATTGGATAGAGTTTGGTTTTCTGAATCCATTGATGTACAATACATCCATTTAAAACGTAATTTTAGCAGAGAAAAGACACCTCTATACAGCCTGATTCAGAGTAAGCGCCTTATTTTTTTTATTTGATCAATGTTACTAGTAAAATCCATTTTACCAGTAGATGTGAATGATATTTGATTGAAATTTGGTCAACCATTTTATTTTTGTAATTTTCAAGTAACGTCGTTTTTAATTTTAATTCTTAAACTTTACATTTACATTTTAACATGTTAGTTCTATAGTTTTTAAAATTTAATATTTACAATAATTGTTTTGAATATCACCGTTTTTGATGTGCTGACCTTATTTACGATTTATACTTTATGCGAAGTTTTTTGAACGTCGTTTCTTATTTTACGACAAGTAAGTTTATTTCATTTTATATTTGTAACAACTTTTATTATCTTTCTTGTTGTCAATTTGTAGCGCTTCTGAAGATGACTAATTAGTCGAAACATGTAAAGCGGATTTACTTATAATAAACCAGTATAAAAGTACAATTAGTGATTTATAAAAATCAAATTTCAATCAAATATCATTATTTTTTTTAGCCACTCTATGAGTACTACTTTCAAAATATTTGGCAGTAATATGTTTTAGGACATTCTCTACACGATGGTAATATCATATTTTCAATTGGACGAATTATGCCATAATAATTAATGCCATAATTTTTTTTTTATTATCGAGATCCTAAAAACATTCTTTTTACGATAGTATTTTGTTTTTCTTAAAAATTCATTTCTTTCCCCGTCAAAAAGCAACCTAACATTTTAATCTAGTAGCGCATGAATGTTTTACACTCGATGTTATTTTTGTCCAAATAAATAAATAAGTAGATGTTTATTACAAAATAAAGCTTAATTGTTTCTTTTGTGTCTAGCGCTACTTGATGAACAGTTTCCGAACATTCTCTTAAAGACACTTGTGTTATACTGTAGTGTGCCATGGGAAAAAATAATCATTTACAACTGCTTCAGGCATTGAAATATCTTTTAATGACTATTATGTTATTAGTATTGCGTGTTATTTTTTCCATGGCACACTACAGTATTACAAAAGTGACTAAGACGATGTTCAGAAAATGTTTTAATTGTTTTTCTCTGCTAAAATTACAATTAATGTTAATGTATTGTACAACAATGGATTCAGAAAAAAAATCTCTATGCAATAACGTGAAGAAAAACATACCGAGCAAGCTCTATCCAATAAAAAATAAAAAACTATTAAACTATTAAACATTTATCCAAGGTTTGAAATTGTGTTTGTTTAATACTTTCTTCACGTTCGATGGGCAATTTTACAAACAAATTTATGGTCTACCCATGGGTTCCAGTTTAAGTGTCAATATGAGCGGAATTTATTTAAACAACTTATTAGATACACAATTGGAAAAAGAAACAATACCAGAATTGTTTATCACTAAATATATTGATGACATCTTTGTGTTAATACCGAAAGACAAAACAGAAACTTTATTAAAGAACTTAAATAGGCACGATAGAAAAATCATATTTACTATCGAGAAGGAGAAAGATGGCACATTACCATTCCTTGATGTGGAAGTAATATTAAATGGAGAAACAAATAAAATCACAACTTGTTGGTATAAAAAGGAAAAAACGAGTGATAGAATATTAAACTTTCACTCTAACCATCCTCGCCCACAAATATTGAATACAATGAATAATTTAATTGTTAGAGCATTGAAGCTGACTGACCAACCCACTTAAAAAGTATTAAGGAAAAAATTTATAAATAATTTTTACCCTAAATCTCTGATTAATAAAGCATGGTTTAGTAACATGGTGAAAATCAATGTAGAAAACAATATAGCAGTAGATCCGAATTTAGAGAATGGACATTCACATCATAATAATGATCAATTTTCCGGAAAGTTGTATAATAAAATTTGTCATATACCGAGTTTGACTAACAAAATAACAAAAACCTTCAAGAAATATGCACATGTGGAAGTTAAATTTGCGAAATATAATAACAATAAATTAAACGTCCATCTTAGGCAAATGAAAGATAGAATACAAACGGAAGATAGAAAGAATATAGTGTATAAGTTGGATTGTCAAGATTGTCAGAAAACTTTGTCACAACACAAATACGACGTAAAACAAGAAGACAAAACAGCCTTAAGCCATCACGCAAATATATTGAAACATACTTTCAATTTTGAGAAACCAATTATAATGGACATAGGTAGAAACACGACTTTTAGGAAGCAACTTGAGAGTATACTAATAGTAAAGATATAAGAAATGGCTCACATATATATACCAATAGATGGAGCCTTATAATATAAAATACATGGTTAAATAAAAACTAGTTTTTAATGCGTGGTGATGACGAGGTAGAAGACCGTACTCTCGATGTAACCGTTGAGGCGTAGATTTTTGACGTATATCGGTTTACCGAGTTATAATTAGTTTTTATTAAGTTTTAAATTGTGATGTATACAAATATTACTATTGATGATTAGTTTTGGGTAAGTTATCACTTATCACGTTATGATAGTCGAATATTTTTGAGCGTCGGATTGAGGTTAAAATATCATTGTTGCAGATCAAAGTTAATAATTGTAAGAATTATTGTATTTGAAGATGGAATAAATTTCCGAAACGTCATACATAAAAATGTTACGTTGAAATATTATATTTCAAAAAAATTAGAGGTTAAATAAATGGTTCTCAAATGTGTCTTTTTTATTGAGAAAAACACATGGTTGTTTGACTTATTTTATAAATAAAAAAAATAATACCGAGCAATTTGAAAAACAAAAGCTAATAATAATAATAATTATTATTTATTGTGCCAACACATGATACAACAAACCAAAAAAAAAACAAATACAATTCATAATATTCAATAAAAAAAATACAAATCAATAAAATAATTAAATTAATCAATAATAACTCAATTAGATATATTAGCACAAATGGTGAAAGAACAGATAAAAATCTGGTTTAACTTCTTCCGTGAGACAAAAAAAAAAGAATAAACAAACAAAATAAAAATGCATAATATAAAATAAAAAATAGAAAAAACTAAGCAATAATGAAACTTATTTACATAGTACCAAATTTCATAATCATTAAAACAAAACTAACCAAGCACGAAAAACCTATAGTCGACCATACAACCTGTCTCGCGACACTAAAAATCTAAATTTCGCGATAGAGCCAGCACACCTCACGGAATCAGGGATCACGGAATCAATAATCGCCTAAAACTGAAGATGGCATTGGAAAAAAATTATTTGTAGCATGAATCATAGTATTCATCAAACCATTTCATTTGATACCTCGCTCATGATAATCGGAATAAAAATGACAGAGTTACAGCTTGGGGCGTTTTTTATCTGACACCCTGTATCTCAATCAAAAGTTCGGGGGCTAGGAGATAATTGATGTGTTTGATTAATTCGTTTTTTGTGTTTTGATCAAAATTCCTAAATATTTAGAATCGGGCATTTCGACAACCGCATTCAGCCAGACACAAACTTTTAATTGAGATATAAGACATTAAAATCCGTCAAACCGTTCTCTAATTATAGTCGATTTAGTTTAAATTAATTTTTTTATATTGGGGGCTAGACTTTCGGGCGTTCACACGTGCATAAACAACGAGCCGAACACGGTGTCATTCCGAGGGCTGTACAAGGTTAACGGGAGCGAATTGAAATCGGGCATTTTGTGATTTCGATAGAAGACACTATGACGAATCGAATGACGTATAGATCTTGATCACCGGGTACATCGTTTACGAGTACCGTTTAAGTGGTGATAAACTTAAAAAAGGTCATATTTGTGAGTACGGGAAGTTAGCCCCCATTTTTTGATTTTTAAATTTTTTTTTTGTTGTTCTAGATTGTTCTAGAGTTGTTCTGCATTGTTCCAAAGCGGCGAATCGAAAAAATATAAACTCCGCGAGAAAACCGAAAAAACAGGTTTTTTGACTAGCCCCCCATTTTTGGAAAAATCAAATTTTCTTTGTTGTTCTGGGTTGTTCTAGTTATTGTTCTAGAAAATCAAAATTATGGGATACAGCATTACGAAGTTATAACTAAAAATAGGTTTGGCCGCCGAAATTTCTAGTTGATTGCTGTGACCATAGTTTTTCTATTATATTATCAATTCTATATTACAAATATATACTTATTATAGCTAACGTAATCTGGAACAGCTATTATTTTTACTAGAACAACTCTCTAAAGGGCACTTTACTCTTTGAAAATTAAAGTTTTTCGAAGTTTTAATAAGAATTAAAAAACATAGAACAATCAGAAATAACTCAAACTTTGCCGATTCAAATTGTTCTAGATGTGTTTTGCGTTCAACACGAACATTAATTTTGCAAAATCACATATTTTTTGTTGCTCTAAATTGTTCTTGTTGTTCTAGGTACTTAAAATGTTTATTTAATCACTGCGGTTTTAGTTCTTTTGAAGTTTCATATAATAATAGTTTTAAAATACTAAAAAAATATAGAATAATCTGACCATCATAATTATCTAAAAATCACAAGTTTCACCTTTCTCTTTAAACTTATAATAGTAAAACAAAAGATGCGATTTAAAGTGTATTTATTTTGTATAAACTAATAAATTAATAAATAAACTAAACTAAGAAATAAAACAATAACTATTCGATCAGTATTACTATATTAGTACAATAATTTATTTTAAGGTAAACTATAACTAAATAAACTAAATTATGTAAATAAACTAATATCATGGAATAATACGGTTACATCACTTTGCTCAATTATAAACATATATGCACATTTAAGCATTTATTTCAGTAGCTTTTTCAACTTGTACGGATTCTTTTCGTAAGTCTTTAAATAATTTCCAATTGGCATTGTTGGGCACAAATGCCAGGTAGTGTCCTACATCATTCAAAGTTTGAGTACCTTCGTAACTGATGATACCTGCGGGGATATAGAATTTGTTGTGGAGTTACAAATTGCGTACGTAATCACTCAATTTTGTTTTATTGTTCTCTCCATTTGTTGTTTCTATAAACAGACCACATTTTTTTGCAATTGTTGCTTAGGGTTTGCATGTAGTTTTCTATTACTTGGTTTAGCTATGCATAGCCTAATATTGTTACGATGTCAATGTCGATTGGTAAAATTATGTTTTTATGGAAAGTAACGTTTAAACCATTATTGCAGTTTTTAGTGCTACAATAACTAAATTCTTCTTTAAATCGTTGTGTGCAAAGAAACGTAATATTTGACACAACATTCACTATTATCAGGCCAGCAATATTCTGGTTTCCAAAATAATTTATGCCTGTTAATAGTTCAGCTCTTTTTTTATATGTTGCTTTACTAGAACCGGTTTTTAAAAATAATTTTAGGAAACTAAAGCAATCTGTGCAAACATTCTCAACATGATTTCTAAATGAATCGTGTGTACGGGCAAATGCTAAACTATGAAATATACTGTCGAATCCGCAAGTATTTTGAACAATATATTTTT